TTTTCCACTGGAAAGCCAGCAGTCATTTAGATCAAAGTATTTCAAAAAATTTCTCAAGTTCTTAACACTTTTATCATTTTGATTACAGTCTTATTGACAATTAAAGTCACCACAGACAATAAGCCCTTCTACATTCATAGCATGTTGACTAACCCAAGATAATAATCTTTTTAAAAAAGCAATTCTAGAGTGTTCAGTGTTAGGTGCATACACATTCACAAACGTAATAATTTTTTCATTATATTTCAAGCTAACTAATAATCTCCTTCCATCAAGAGACTGATGATAATTTAATATTTCAACAGAAAGGTTTTGCTTAAAAAATAGCGAAACGCCCCTACTGTAAACAGAGTCGGAAAAACAATGAAGTTTGTTTCCAAACCATCTAGAATTGTATATAAATTCATGTTCTTTAACAAAATGGGTTTCTTGTAAGATTATATATCGAAATCGGAATCTTTCAACCACTCAAAAAGTGTTACTCTCTTTTTATAGATATTTAGACATTTAAGGAGAGGAATGATAAAGAGTTTTTATTCATGTGATCGTGTAGATTGTTAATTCACATTATTTTGCAACAGAGTCGTTTTCATTTCTCTTTTTATTTTTTTTTCAAATCTCGGATAAATGTGTCGAGTTTCTTTTGACTAGTCTTGCTTTGAGAGCCTTTCCTAGGCACGGAGGCGCTCCTGAGTTTTCTAGTATATTTGGCAGCAATTTTTGATACTTCATAATAAATTATTTGATTTTGATGTTTGGAATTTACGAGAGAAGAAATCATATAATAAAATCAGATCCTTGATCCGCTCCTTATTTTTATGGTCGCTACACGAGGATCAGATCCTCGTGTAGCGACCAATCAAAAAGAAAAGGAGCGGATCGACGGTCTGATTTTAATTAGATTGACCATAATAATTACCTCATTGAAACCAAATACGTTAATTCTTCAATTATATACATAAATCAGGCAAATTTTTTAAACGTACATAGATATATATATATTAAATTTTTATGTCCCCCGCGTGCCAGAGGTTAGAGCGCTTGCCCTAGATTCGCGAAGAAAGGAGTCGAAACTCACTGTGTGTCGTGACGACAAGTCCTTCGGATATAATCCTTCGGTATAAACCGAGGTCCCGTGTCGAATGAGATGTTGGCACGAAGAAGATCCCCCACTACTCAATAACCCTGAATACCGAGAATAGGACACAATTTGTAGCTCTCCACCGGCAAGAGGTGGCAACATGGGTGAAAAATTCTCGAGAAGAACGTTAAACAACATACAATAATTCTTTTTAAAAGTATAGTATACAATTCACTCACCCGATGGACGTGGTCATTAGGACATGAGGGAGCGTAAAATCATATAAAATCCAAATGTATCATTGAAAGCAAACACATAATTTTTCAATCACTCGAACCAGTCCTACTAATTCCTAAGCTGACTTACACATGAATGGTTTTTGAAAACTATGGTACAAGTCATTTACCCCATATATACTGTTGATAATGTGCAGATACCCAATGGGCGTGGTCATAATGACAACTCGGGAGCTACGCTCCCTCCTGTCATTATGGCCACGCCCATCGGGTATCTGCACATAACCAACAGTATTGTATGGAGTAACTACTACATAACCTCTTTTGATTAAGGTAAGGAACAAGACATCGTCGCAAACCACGGCCAAAATGTACATGAGGACTCTGGACCGTGGCTTGAGACAATGGGAACAAGAGAACGGGCGAAATCTTTGTTCAATAAAATATGTAGTCAGCGGTATCGGCACATGTGTTGGTAAGTTTTCATGACTAAACTCAGTGAGAAACTTACTAAAATTTTAAGTTAAAGTCTGAAATGTCCTCGAATTAATAAAGGATGATTGATTAAAAAGGTTTTATATCCGCATATTCTAAAGAAAGTCCGGGTATATTGTTTAAGCTTCTCAATTTGGAATATGTTAAGACTGTATCCAGGAGAATGTTTTGGACTTTTAAATTTTACCATGGCAGTCAAAGGGGGATCGATAAATGTGTTTTTCCTCTTTTACAAAAACCTGGTTTCATGAACTCCTCGTACATTTTAAGAAGATGAATGGTAGTATCTTGTAAATGTGTAATAAGGTTTTGGAATTTTTATTTTCACCCTGGAATCAAATAGGAGCAAAAAGATGTTTTTTTTTTCAATAAATCTGAATCCCCAGACTCCTCGTACATTTTATGCTGTATCCAAATCGTCTTTGTATGGATGATTACAGGTGTCCTGTAGATGTGAAAAACTTTTCTGATATTTTATTTTAACCCTGGTGGTGAAAGAGGAGTCGAAAATAACGTTTTTTACAACCGAAACCATGGTTCCCTGAACATTTATTACATTTTCAGAAAGTGTATACCTTCCCTTGGGTACCAGCAATTTTGACCCTTTGACCTTGATTTTGCTTTCAACCTGACCATTTTTTAAATTTATAGAATAAACAAAAATACAAAATTTGAATAAGTGTTACAATCTTAATCTCATATGCAAGGTTATAGAAGAAATGAATATATTATAGTGATTAATTACATAAAAAGAAACGATATTTAACATCAATATCGTGATGATGTCCGTATTCTTGATCAAAGCGTACACAAACTGAAGACACGCATTGTGATTCGACTAATTCTTCACTTCTTTCTATAATAAATTTAAATCAATAACATTAATTTGTACACGTAATGTAAAAAGAAATTATCGTCCAATCCTCCAGTACAATACTGTAGTTGTAATTTATTATCCATTTATTTCATGGATTTTTTTACAGGGTCAATCAAATCAGGGAAATAAAAGTTCTTCACGTTTTATCCATTCGGACTTATCAAAAAGTACTTTTTAATTCTAAAATTAAAAGAATTTAATTTACATTAATTTTACAAAGTTTACACATGCTTTCAACTATATCCGGGTTTAATTGTAGGAAACAATACCACTTCATTATTATGTCAAGTATTGGTAGTAATGCTATTCCATAGCCAAACCTCTCTATACTTAGGTGTAACCCTAACCCCTACCCGCCTGAATCGTGTCCAAACCCATCAAACTCTGGTAGCAAAATACAATGCACTAGGACACGTCATGATGTCTTATGAATGCATGTCATTGCAAAATTCAATGCACCAGGATAAAAGCATTTTAAAAATATCTACTAAATGCAACATACTTTATACCAAGTCTGCGTCTTCATATTCACTGTTTGTAGTTATATTTACAACAAGATTTTTTTTATGATTTTTATTGGTAACAACATGCAATGCACCAGGATTAAAAATATTGTGTCTACTGTATGCAACATGCAATGCACCAGGACCGCGTCATGAAGTCTACTGTATGCAGTTAACAATATGCATATATATATACCACTATAAAATCGAAGTTTATTCAACATGTTCAAGGCAGAATTCAAACTTCATACGCTGGAAGTTAGTCAATGACATGGTCTTAGGAACCAAAAGGGGGAGGGAATAGGGGGCAACTTTGCAGATATATAACAATATCATATACATTCGATACAATTTTTATATCAAAGAAAAATATTTTGATGTTATAACGAACGATGTTGTCGGATTGTCGTTTGCTTTGCAAACACATGGTGCGGAAATATCTGGCTCATGGATTGTATAAAAATACCAATTATGTAGTTCATATGGAAATTCAACATTAACATCGATTCGGAATTGATTATTCGGTAAGGAATTTTCCATATCTCCTATGCAGATATCGAGCAAAAGGTTATTAAAGAGTTCTCGGTTTTGTTAAGTGGTCTTTACTTCACGATATAAACTGTTAATCGTCTTAAATATTATTTTTCAGTGATAAAATTAAACTTGTAGATATCTGAGTTTACAGAAATGCTCCCTTTCCGCCCCCATCCCTATACCTATCCAGAGGAAGCTCCTTTGTACACACACTTTGTACATCAGATTAAAATATGTGACTTCACACTAGCGTATACATTAGCAGAATGAATATACGCCACTGATATTACTTTTTCCTTATGTATAAATATATTAGATAAATTTATTTTTACAAATACGACATGTACCAGTAATGGTTAAGTTTGAAATAAATTTTTTATAAAATTTTCCGAATATTTTCGACTTTGTAATCTTAATACTTTCACATCCCTAGAATTTAGTGAAATGGACCTAACATATACTGAAAATATACTTTTAAATGGTAATATATTTAGAGTACCCTGCATAAAAGTTAATCTTTATGAATTATTCGAGAATATTATTTAGATGTTTTGTTTCCGTAATAATGAATAAAATAATATAAAAATTGTGGCTATTGTAAAACTTGTTTTTTTTTTTTTTTACAATTAAGACAAAGCAGTTAGAGTATATATATATATAGAGAGAGAGAGAGTATATATTTGTTATTTAGATTGATACAGTTATTTAGAATGACTGGATAATTTTTTCATATCAATTAAATGAACCACTCATAGATGATATCTTATAAATCTTTGCGTAAATGATAATTCCTTGCAATACAAAGTTTCGAATATCTTCCATATAAAATAAAATTATAAACAAACTCTTCGATTTTTCATTGGAGAACTAATTCATATGGATAGGATGATCAAAAAGAAAGTAGATCTTATGGGTATTTCCGTTTGTTCTAATTTTTAACTTATGGGGATTTTCAGTCGTTATTAAACACATCAGGTAAGTTTTATTATTTGGCAATTGAAAACTGTTAAATTAAATTTACTATTCTTTGCAAATTATAGTTACATTTTTGAATTGTAAAATGTTTTACAACTTTGCATACTTTTAAAGCAACTTAACAAACAAAATTTTAAAGAAATTAAAGATATATATAAATCTACTCGAAGCATTCAATCATATAATAGCAGTATATATGATTTACGTAATTTGGGCAGGGTGTATATACATTTAATAACTTGTTTGTTTCTCAGCGAGTGTTTCATGCCCTTGTATATCAATTCTTTTCTATCTTTAGAATGGATCACATTCCTCGTCTATCTGAGGTCCTGTACGTGGGTCTGTGTCGTAAGATAGGGACACCGAAAGAAGTGGCCATCAGAAGGGACGTGAGGGACATGGAGGAGATGATAGAGAAACCTGTACATGTGTGTTCTGGACGTAGACGTATATATACTGGTAGTTATAGGGAGGGTTTTAGGTTTCACTCCTCTGATCGGGATGTGATGTATTGGTTTCTTAGCCATAAAATTATAAGCAATATTTCTCAGTTCACCATTTACGATGCATCAAAACATACCATTATCCTAATGGAGGACACAGATACACCGCCTGGATTTGTCCGATTACGACTTCTTACGCAGCCAAGGGACGACTTTATCAGTTCAGCACTTGTTTCCTTGAAGGGTACACATTATCTTTCAAATTTGTTATGGAAAGAAAAGTGGTTGCAAAAGACTAAAGAAATAAAAGCAATTAAAAATGTGGACGGTCATGGTCCCTGTTCAACTGGTTATGTCGGCGATATTGAACTCGATTATGCTTTATGTTTTATCAGTAAACATTGGACAATAATAACAAGTAATTGGATTGAACGATCTTATAAATACACCTGGCCTCCTGCTTATGTGTTCGCTAAAATTCTGAACAACGGTTTTCATTTCGTTGCTATTGGGAATAATATTTTTTCTCCTTCCTACGAATTAGAGTGGAGATTATCGTTTTCTCGAGCCGAACAAAAATTAGTGTGCACCATGAACCATACCCAATTTTTGTGTTACGGACTTCTGAAAATATTTCTGAAGGAGGTAATCAATGACAATATCCGCGAACCATTACTTTGTTCATATCACATAAAAACTACTACGTTCTGGATAATGCAGTTGGAAAATATTCAGTGGTGCCCAAACAATTTACTGAACTGTTACTGGATTTGTTTCAAATATCTCATTCATTGTGTTTACCGTGGCGAGTTTCCCAATTTTTTCATTCCACAAAATAACATGTTTTCAAGCAAACTAATTGGATCTACTCGTAGTTGTTTATTAAAACAACTTAATCAATATTATAGAATGGGCGTGTCTTGTCTTCTTCTGAGTCCGACTCTCAGATCAATCCTCGATCCAGCTCTAAGGACTCCGTCGTTTGCGGTTCATTTTGTCGAGGGTCATGTTAATAAATCTGTTTTAGAAATAGATTTGCATACCAAAGATGAAATATTTTCTGTTTCGATTCCATTTACAACTTATTTAGAAATTGTTACACAATTGAAATGGATAGAGAGATTATTGCATTTTTCATTTTCGCCATACCAAACACTAACTTTACAAAGTTGTACAGCTCAAACGCTTATTCACATGGTGTTCATCGCGACACAGAGTTCTTCCTGTAGCACTCATAAAGAGAGGTTTACATTAGAAAGGACATTTTGTAACATACTGAAACTGGCTGGAAGGATAGGTTGTGTGTCTAATTTACTGTATTTAGCTTTGTATTACTATAGCATCGGTAGATATCATGGAACTGTTAGGTTAATTCATCTGATCAGAAAAAGGCTTTCACAGCCTTTCATCTTTTATCATTCTCTGAGCGGACAGGTATATAAAGCTGTATGTAGTTTGTCTCCTTCTGGACGAATGAAAAAGTCATGGGCAATGGACTTACAACTTAATGTGGATGTTTTATATATTCGAGAAATATTATTAGAACAAAAAGAAGCCAAGAAGAATGGAGAACACGTTCTATTTATATCTCCATTTCTTACTCTAGAAATGTTGTCTGTGTTATCTTACTACAGACTGGGGAATCAGTCTCTATATCAACAGTCACTGGCAGATTTAAAGACTCTACTCTTATATGATGATGGGAGATATATACATACAAAAGTAAGAGACCTAGCCTGGCAGATACTAGGGATTTGTCAGCACCTTGTCGGGGACTTACATGGAGCTTTATATTCTTATCAAGAGTCACTGAAACAGAAGCCACTCCATCAAATACAGAAAGCTACAGAAGCTAGAATAAGTTATGTTGAAAGGCACCTTCAATAAACATTCTACGTCCCCAAGGGGTGGTGATTCGACACAATGAAAAGGGAGTTTAAAAAAAATTAAACTGAGGTACATAGAAACATGAAGCCCAAATTATTTTGGCTGTTAAGATAATATACTAGGGATGTCAAAATTGGCAATAATTGATATTCGAATATTCGATGGGGGTATTCGAATATTCGACAAAATAAATACATTTTGGCATTATTTAATATATATCCTCACTTTCCTGTCAAGCACAGGTTTTATGCCATTATTTTAGAATAAAAACTCCTGTAGAGTTTGGAAAATGCACTACAATTATACTATATATTTTTAAAATTATTAAGTAGTATACATTGAAATTGTAATGATTGATTTTTTTAAAATTCAAAAGATTCTTAAATGTGTTCCAGTTTTATATTTTTCGTCTTACTAAAGTCTTCACTGATAACTCCTACTATAATTTATACCTAGCAGAACGGTTATCTAATTGTGAAATATTAAAAGCAATTACTCTTTGCTAATTATAATATCCTGATAATGATTTTAATGATATTTACATAAACAAAAAGTCTGTGCATACTGTAAAAGTGGTTCCTTACAACAATACAAGCTGACTGTAAGTACTGGAAGGTATTATACAACGAATTATGTGACCAATAAATAAATTACTCTAATAGATACATGTACACTCTTTACACCTTTAAGGTAATCTAAGAGGAGTGGGTTTTTTTAATTTTGTAAAACTTGATTCAATTTCTAATAAAACTTGCCATATTTTTCTCTCTTTTTAAAAATACTTGTATACTTAAAAAGGAATATTCGAATCACAAATTTATATTCGAATATCAACTCATCGAATGAATATTCGAATATTCGTTGACATCCCTAAAATATACAGAATATTCAGAGTATTCGTTAATGTTATACTTTTATCTAAGTAAGGGTATCTCTGAACTCTTAGTTATTTGATTTATTAAGCCAGTTCAATGCCATAATCACCAACTGGTGTAGTGCTTTGATTTGTTTTGCTTTTTTTATTTTATCTTTGAGACATTGTTGTGAATGGATCAATAAATCTTTGATAAAAATCAGTGTTTTGTAATTAAAATAAAGATTGATGGTAGCAAATGGTTTGAATCTTTCAGGGCAAGAGATGTATGTTTAATTTGGATTAAGAACTAAATATGTACATGTATTGTGGGGGGGGGGCGTTATGAGCCCTCAAAGTTTTTTTATGTTGTCCTACGTCGATAACTGTATAAAATATATCAAATATTAAACGATATAATTGGAATAGCCTGGCATTTGAGGTGTTTTCGTTCTCATAAATCAATGAAATACAGGGTAATAAATATTATTTCATAAAATTCAAATCAACCTTCTTCATATAAAGTTTTGAGGGAGAAGGGGGCTCTTGATGAGGACTATGTGTATTTGTTTTGTGAACACATTGAACTTTGTTTTCCCTTCTGATTTAGTTTGATCGTTGACAGTCCCGTTAGTCCTATAATATATATTATATTAAGTATATAGTTTATACATGTAGTAATTGCTTTAAAAACAAGGTTGTGACAAATAAGATGATGACACAGGGATATCAACAGTCCCGTTTAAAGTCAACATGTGGCAAGATCTATACTCGATACAGTGACCTTGTCTGCAAATACAATCTGCATGTATCATTAAGGCGAATGTTGACTGACTTTTTTCATAAATATTATTATAGAGTTTCATTTTCACACTCAATTGTCTACGTATTTTCC